TGAATGAGGGGTCTCCCCACGATCACGTTGTACACAGATGGGACATCCACGACTAGAAATTTGGCCATAGTGTTCCGTGCTGCTCGGCCTTTGCCGATGGTGACAGGAAGATGAATCTTCCCATCGGGATATGATGAAAAGCCGTTGAATCCGGATACCGAGTATTGGAGTCGGGTGCCTGGCCTCCAATCTCAGGTGGTCGAATGCTCCTCAAAAGAGGATATTCGCCCCACTACCACCGTCGACGAGAGATCGCCAGATGTTGCGATTTGCAATGCCCGTCACAATTACTAATGGGTCTTCATGGGGGTATACCACTCCTTGGCAGTCTTCGGCTGTGAACAGAATGTTCGGCACCGAAGACTGAGGCGCTCGGATGTCTGCGTGATTCACTTGATGGGTCAATCCCCTCAAGTGAGGCTTCACTGCATTCCGAGAAGTTCCCCGGAAATGACCCTTTTCGACTTTTTTCTCTTCACGGCGCTCCGCGAGATACTTTTTCAAGTAGCCTTTCTGAACTAGATCCTCGGTCTGATCTTTCAGCTGAAGGCAGTCCTCGGTGCGATGTCCAATGAATTCATGGAACTCGCACTATTGGTCCTTGCCCTTTTGTTGAGGCCATGGTGAGAGTAGCCTTGGTTTCTTGAACCTCCCCTCGTCTTTGGTTGTGCTATAGATTTTAGCACGAGGAAGAGCAAGAGGAGTGTAAGAATCATACCTCCCTATATAGGGGGTCCTATCTTTTTTTGGCTCAGGTGCCGAGGACGGTTCTGAGGCTTTCTCCTTCCCTTTCTTGGCCCTTGGCTTTCGGACACTTGTCCTTTTGCTTTCCCAGCCTCGGATTGGGATTGGGATTTTATCTTGTACCATTCTTCGGCTCGAATGTATTTATCCAAGGCGTCCAAAGTTTCCTCCATGGTCTGCGGGGGATGCATGACCATAAAATCAAGGAACTTGCCAGCTTGTAAGCCATTCTGCAGCGCAAACATGACTAGGCCCTAATCCAGGCTTGCGATTCTGGATGACGCGTTGATGAAACGAGTCGGATAGTCTCAGAGGCTTTCATCCTCCACTTGCTGCAGACCCATCAGTTCTGCGGTTGTTTTCTCTCGGTGATTTGCCGTAGAAAACTTGCTCTTGAATTTGTTAGAATGATCCTTCCAACCGGTTATAGAGCCTTCCTTCACCCCCTTGGTGATCCACGCTTTTGAAACACCTTTGAGGGTCGTTGGAAAATACTTATACCAAGTAGCCTCGGACCTAGGGTTAAGGTACATGTTTCCCTCGTAAGAGGCAATGTGGTCCTTCGGGTCCGAAGTACCGTCGTAAGTGATGTGTGTCGGGATTTTCACGTCGGCACATGCTCTTCCAATATCCAACTTTGGAAGGGCGAGCTGGTAGGGACCAATACGGCCTTTCCCTTTCGTCTAGTCGTTCGGACCTCGCTTCTCCCTCTTAGAGAGATGGAAGTGGTTTTTGTCCTTAGGTGAGATGGTTCAGGGTTGGGCTCGGTTCCCTCCGCGTAGTGAGGCGACTATGCACGCTCACCTCCCATGAACCTAAACATTCATGAACGTTTAGGCGAGCTGGCTCTTGCCACTCAGAGGTGGTATTGTTGCTTCTATAGCTTTTGGAGTCCCGGGTTCTAGAACCATCAAAGAACTAGGGGTTCCTTTTTCGTTCCCGTTCGGTCCTCCAAGTGTCCTCTTCGTACTTCTCCTCGAGCTCCCTAATAGAGGGAGTTTGACCACCCTCCTCTTGGCCAATCCCCCTTCTCAAGTTTCTTGACGGAAGAGGTGAGTGATCACAGGGAGGAGGAAGACTGCCTGCTTGGGCCTTCAAGAAATCCATGCAAACGGCTACGACACTCGCCACTTCCTCCGTAGAGGGCCCCGTTTGAGGGGTTGTTTTCGCCTGAGACTTAGAATGTGAGCTTCACAGAGGAGGACTCCTCGCATTTAATTGATTTGGCCAAGACGAACTTGTCGGCTGGCGAGTATAATGGGATGGTGACTTCTCCAAGGCTTCCCTTTCCTGAGAAGAGGGAGATTTTGAAGAAGGAGAAGAAGGTTCCAGTGATGATGGAATCAGTTGATTCACTCTCACCGTAATGTGGTCTCTCCTCGAAGAGGAATGACCATTCTTCTTAGCACTCTTGGCGCTTTTACCGCTCTTAGTCATGTTTTTACTAAGAGTGATTAATTTTCCGCTTAATTTTTTGTATCTTCCCCACAAATGGCGCCAAATTGTTTCAGATGAAAACAATAGGACCTTCAGCAGGCCCTTTTCAAGGGAGACGACTGGTCTCGGTCCAAGTGGTGACTGGGCCGAGGATTTTCCTACACTGCAAACACACGTAAACTAGCCTCGGGGGTGATTACCGAGGAAAGCCCCTCCGATGCTAAAGTCAGTTCAGTGTGAGAAGAATAAGCTATACAAGAGAGTTAGTTGCTTGAGGCTTAATGTGCATGAATGATAAATGAGACTATTGATGGTTTTTATACCTTTGCTCAATAGAGGAGGATTGGGCCTTTGAAGTTAAATGGGGCTTACCATGCTGATTGGGCTTGATTGACTTTAGCATGCTTTGGAGAGTTGAACCTTGCTTTTGTAATTAAATCATTTGGGCCGGCCCATTTAGATTAACTGAATTGGACCCAAACAGCGCCTAATGAGGATAAAGTGGAGTGCAATTGCTCTGCCTATTCCACGAGATGCGCCGGTTACGATGGCGACTCTGTCTTGGAGTGAGTTGGTGGTGGTTGTTCTGGTGGGTAAGGATGCCATTGTTGTGGGATTAATTTATTATTATTTTTTTTACAAAGAGTACTAATAAAGAAAAACAACAAACAAAATCAACGAACAAACTACACTACACAAAAACACTAAAGAGACACTTGCGAGCCAACTTTATTCGAGCCAAGTTGGAGTACTTGAAGTCCACACTAGGCCCACGATCACGCTTTGTACCAACACGAACCACCTGGCAATTTGCAGTTGATCTAGGTCGGTCCACCAAAGAACTCTTTTTCCTAAACCAAGGATGAAAAATAGACCCGTGACGGCGAAATGGTTGATCCAAAGACTTAGCACTGGAATGCAAAGTGGCGAATTAGAAACTAAAATCACAAACTTTTCCCCCAAACTCCTTTGAATTCACCCCTTCCTTATGACTATCAACATCATAAAGGGCAGTCATGCACTCCAAACTATTGTGCGCCACTGGAGCACCTAAAGACTGCTGCAAAATGGTAACCGACTGAGACTCTATTATGGGCACCATCTGTAGCTCCTCATCACAGGATACCTGTTTTTGTATTGTGATCGAGAAATGGATTAATTGGGAATTTGAAGATTAGTTTTAGTTATTACGGAGTAACTTATTTATTAATCTCAACTGATTTTGTAGGAGTACATCAGTTTCGAAGGAGGGGTTAAAATAGAGAGTTTGAGACTTTGAGTTTTAAGAACAAAGAAGAAGTGTTGATATTTTTCCTTAAAAAAAAGTGATATATTTTATAGACATATATGACCAAGAAAGGTAACAAAATATTACAAGGATAGGATTAAGGAGGAAATTAAGAGAGAATAATATAGAGATTAGTAGGAGATCAATCAAATATTCCGATTAAAATCTTTTAGTAATTTTTTATTGCCAATAATCTTTTGTAACCTATAATTTTCATTAACTAAGGGTTCGTTGGCATCATTGTGGTTTTCTATTTTTTTGGGTTTTTTTTTTCAAAATCATATGATATATGTCATATAATGAATAAAAAATTAGTTTAATTTATTAAACTCACGATAATTTTGAAAACTGACAACAGAAAAGTAGAAACATCTTTTTCTTGTTTTTTGTTTTGGTTTTTTTTGTATTCGAAAAAACAGAAAACTGAAAACAAAAAACAACGCCAAACATGTCCTTAATATTCCGATTAAATCTTTGGAAGTTCCACCAGCGATTTATTTTCATCAAAATCCCCATTAGTTATTTAGCATTATAGAGTTGTACATATAATACTAGATTTAAGTTTCTTTTAATAGTTAAATTTAACATTTAATAATCAATTGTAATAACAAAATATTAATACACAATATTACTATTTTTTGTAAATCTTATACAATAGGAAACTGCTACTGAAGATACTATGAATTTTTACAAAGCTGGTCATCAGGTTTGTGTGTTTTCTTTTGGTTTTTTTTTATTTTTTTTTATTTATGCCGTTTTTTAGGGTTTAGATGTTCGATTTTGCGGAGATTTGCGTGAATTTATTTTGATCTAAAAGATTTAATTCGATTTGTATTTGTTATTTTGAATTATTTTTTTCTCTGATTTTGCTACTCCATATGATGAGATATGGAAGGATAACTGAGATTCGAGCTAATAATCGCTAAATGAGTGCTTAATGTTGTTTGTTTTAGTTACTAAAGTAACTAAACATAGTATATTGGTGGAATGAGTGAGATTTGATACTTGAATATGCATATATTGGATGTATTTTGAATAATTAAGAAATTCCTGCAGTTTTATAGGAGTATTTGGATGTATACTAAGATTCTTGCATTTTAATAGGAGTTTGGATGTATTTTGGATATTTAAGTATATTTCTGCAGTTTTAATACGAATATTTGGATTTTATTTTGGATATTTGAGAACATTCCTGCAGTTTAATAAAAATATTGATGTGTTGTGGATACGATATGTGTAGGTAGAATATTGTAGTTGAAATGAATAACGATGAGAATGTTGGTGAGAAGAATATTTTGATTTATAGGTTTTGAATGCTAGATTGAAGTGAGGTATTATTTGAACTAGATTATGATTCTCTGGATTTGGATGAAGTTTAATTTAAAGACTTGTTTCAGTACTAATTACCAACATACTTGTAGTATACTAGCTCACGCTTGTTTCATCTTGGAAGTGGAGTGTAAGGATAGAGTGAGACAGTATTGAGTAATGGATTTGATTATTGCTTTTCTGGATTTGTTGGCCTAATTAGGTTGGGAATATGCAATGCAAGGATACAAGCCTTTGAAAGAAGTTGAAAAAAAAAACGTGCAAGACCAGCTGAGTATCTGGTAAATATGTTGTTCTCTGATTCTTATTGAATTTTCAATCGTACTTGCAGTACCATGTAAGAGTACGTTCTAAGACATAACTTAAGTACTGCTGCAAGTTTATTATTTTTGACAATCGGGCTTTGTGGGTTTCAATGTTTCATATGCGTTTAGGTTAGATCTTGGATGGAAGAATCATATCTAGGCATTAACACTGGTATAACTTCTTACATTATTAGACTTGATAGCCTGAAAGTAGTCTGCAATGAAAGTATTACCTCAATAGCGGCTGGATGCCAAGACATAAGGCTACGCATGGATGGACTATTTGTCAGAGAATTCACTTCTTTATATACAAATGGGTGAATTTTTAACTTTTTACTTTTTGTAGTTCATGTTTGTCCTATAACAAGTGGCTCACATTTGTAAGCTCAGCCTCAGAGCACAACCTCTACGCCTACAGCTGCTGTGCCTGCACCAGTTGCACCTCAAGCTCAGTAAGTTCTAGAAGTATTTTCTTTTTAATCTTCGTGCTTTGGTGTACCAATTATAATTATTAATATTCAATACTGAAAGTTTCTAGGCTTTTATGATATATGATCTTTGAAAATGTGCTTATAAATACTATTTTGTTATGTTAGGACGCAGATAACTACAGAACCTGCTGCTGTAGCTACCGTGAGTCCCTTGATTGATGCAGCTGCTGCTTCGTGAGTTTTAACCGTTTCTTAGATATTTTAAGCATGTTTTCCATCAAAATGACTAATTTGTGGAACTTATGAATAAATACGAGCTTAATTACTTGTATGTAGAGGGGACGCATATGTCCATGGCTAGGTTGCATCTAATTTAGTTACGGGAAGCAACTTGGAGAGCACCATTCAGCAAATTCTTGATATGGGTGGAGGAAGTTGGGACAGGGTTACTGTTGTTCGTGCTTTGCTTGCTGCTTATAACAACCTTGAGAGGGCTGTCGAATATTTGTACTCTGTATGTCTATATACTACTAATTCGTCTTTCATGCTCCCCCCTCCCACTTTAATTCATAAACGAGCATACACTGTGCTTGCTTCACTCTAAAATTCTTGCAAAGATGTTAAGGTTCAGGATTATCTATATAAATCCATCTTGTTACTGCATTTGACTTTAATAGTGCCTCTTACTTGGTTCTTTTGATAAAGAATGTTCTGCTTCGGCATTGTGCCATCAATTGGACTTTGTTATGATTAATTTACTAGTAATCACCCACAATGGGCCGGGAGTGCCAAGAGCTGCAACACAGTTGACTCGCAGCTACAGGTGTATATTGTGATATGTTGTTGTTGCAATTTTTTTTTCAATTTCTTTTTATTTGTGTGTGACCTTGAATTTTATTTTTTTGGACGAAAATTGTAACATTACAGCCTTTTTTAATGAAAATATGTAACTTTGTATATATGTTAGTGTTTCTACATCAATTTAAGTGAAAAAAATGCAAAAAAAATATTTTTTTTTGGGGCACTAAGGGAACCGGTTTTGAATCGAACCGGTGCCAAAAGTTTTATTTTTTATTTTTTTGGGCCATTATTCGCACCGGTTTGAACAGAATTGGTGCGAATAACACATTATTAGCACTAGTTTTGAATCGGTGCTAAAGTTTTTTTTTATTATTTTTTGGCACCCCTCAAATCTACACCGGTTCAAAACCGGTGCTATATGGGGGTTTTGAATCAGTGCCCTTTTATATTTTTCTACTAGTGAATTAAGGTTCACGAATATATAAACACAGTATATTTTGTAAATTGTTTGTTTAAACAACAATACAAACCAATTCTTGAAAAAAAGTAGAAAGAAAATAAAATATGTTAAACTATATGTATTTGTTTAACCGGCTTTTTTTTTAAATTGTGAACACGGTGAAAATATAACCTTCCAGGCTTCCATCATTCTTTGTAAGTCGAATATAATGGTAAACGTGTCGTTGATAAGTTGCATAATAAAACCCGCCCATTAAAATTAACACTTAGCGTTCATCGCGTGGCCTGGGATTTAAGGTGGTGATAAATTTATTAATAGATATGATAAATTTTGTTAACGTAGAACTTAATCTTTTAGATGAATAAATGATAAATGATTAACATTGTTTTTGCTAGAAAAAGAAAAAGGATATATTTTTAATTTCAATGGTTTTTTCTTATTTTTTGTATCTAATCCAAAACTGATGTATTTTTTTTTTTTGAAAAAACTGTGTTTTTTAATTTTTTATTTTTTATTTTTATTATTGAAAGTGATTTCATTTTTTTATTAGTATTTTTTTTATAAAATATTTTATTATAATCACTAGTTATATTTTCATTATTTTTATTATGTAATCCAATTTTTTTTTTAAATATCAATTGAACATGAATTTCATTTTTTAAATAATATTTTTTATATATACGAAATAAAATAAATGTTTTTCTTTTCTCGTAGATAAAATTCTAATTTAAAAAGATAGTATTTTATTTTTATAATAAATTTAAACCTTTAATTTTAATCTTACGTGGCGCTTTAAAATAATAATCCTATGTGGCATAATCTTACACGTAATGCTCTAAAAATACTAATCCTACATGGCCCACTAATAATTTTTAAAAAATCAAAATCTTAGGTGGCTCTCTAAAATCTTGGGAAAAAACTTCCCTTTATATATATATATATATATATATATATATATATATATATATATATATATATATATATATATATATATATATATATATATATATATATATATATATATATATATATATATATATATATATATATATATATATATATATAGTTTTGAGCCCCGAGTATTGCCCAGGTTGGATATTGAATTTTAAGATAAAATTTGTATCTATATACCAAATTTTAAAAAATATCATTGATACAAATTGTGTTATGTAAGAAGTGTATATTACTTTTGATTTAGGATATACTGTAAGATACCATTGTTTTTGTAGAAGCGTAATATATATTATAAAAATATACACTATATAAAAGAAATATAGGGGGTTTGTTAAACTTCGCTCCCAATTTACTAGGCGTCGCTCGCATTTTTTCCTTGAAATTCTGTATTTACCCCTCGTATATAAATACTCACGACACTTATAACACATTTCACGCTCATACTTCTTTTGCTAAAATTTTATCTCTCTAATTGTTAAAAATCTCCCTAATACTTAAAAATCAGAAATTAAAAAAAAAAAAAAATCTGAAAATAAAAAAAATAAAAAAAAATACGGAAAATTCAACCTTAGTGAAACCACCCACATTCCACCACCAATCCAAGGAGGGTAGAAGAAATCCAGCGATTGCGGACCCGCAGCGAATTAGGGTGACATACGGTGGTCGAGGCGGCGGCATTGGAGGCGGCGAACAGGTAATTTCCAGAAATATGTTGTTTAAATTGGGGAAAAAAAATTTCGAAAATTTCGGACATCTGCCTGAAATTTACTCTTGGTACATCCGGAAATTTCAGGCGGATGTACCAATTTCCAGAATTTTTTTTTTCGTGGTTAATATTATTATTATTATTATTATAAGTATCACTATAATATTATCATTATTCTTGTTATTGTTATTAGTATTATTATCATTATTATTGTTATTGTTATTGTTATTGTTATTGTTATTAGTATTACTATTATTATCATCATTGTTGTTGTTATTATTATCATTATTATTGTTATTAGTAATATTATCATTATTATTATTGTTAATTGTTGTTGTTATTAGTTGTATTATCATTATTATTATTATTATTGTTGTTGTTGTTTTGTAATACTACCTCCGTTACATATTAGTTGCAACTTTGGGGTATTATTTATGAGACATATATTATTCCAAAATTGCAACTAATATGTGACGGAGGTAGTATCAATTTTTTAAGTAACTTGATTTTGAACAAAGACAATTAAACAGGTAGACAAAACAAGTTTGACGGGATATTGACAAATAATCACTCCCAAAAAACTTTATACTTCATCCGTTCCATAAATATTGCTAATTTCATTTTATGCAGTCTACACAATGCATCTTTAACCATCGGTATATTAAATTATGCATTAACAAAATTTTTAAAAAAATTGATATTATTAAACTACACATAGTTAAACTATGAACCACTAATAATTTTATTTTTCGAAATCTTATAGCTAAGGTTATTATAAAATAAATCAAATCATCCATAAATTAAATGATACTCCAGTACTCCAAAAAAATGCAATGCGGTACTTGGAAATGATTGAATAGGAGAATCACTGTGGACTATAACCATTGGTTTTGAAACTTTTAGTTCAATTTAAATTAGCCTAGTTTTTGTAGTTGGGGAACTTTTTATTGTTATATTGGTTACTCCCTCTGTTTCGTATTAATCGCAACATTTTCCTTTTACATTCGTTATATATTAATTGCAACACTTCTATATTTGGAAAATACCCACCATTATTTTATAATTTCTCTCTCCCACTAACCCCACTTTCATAAATATTTTATTATTTCTTTTTTCTACCAATCCCACTTATACTACTTTTTATTATAAAAATTCTCTTTTGGACCCTACCCTACAAATTTTCTTAAACTTTGTGAATACCCTACTATTGCGATTAATAAGAAATGAAGGGAGTAAATTATATTGTTCACAACCGAAAGAATAAAAATTCAAAGGAGGGGGTCATTTTTGGATCCGAGGTCAATTTTTTTTTTAAAAAAAAATTTATGGGAATAATCCCACCTTTGCACCGTTCTTTTTTAATAATCTCACCTTTAAGTTATATTTTAATAATCCGACCTTTACCCCCCATTCTTTTTTATTGGTCTCATTTTACCTGAAACCGGTTAAGAAGGTAAATTATTATTTTTTTGATTAATTTACACGTGTCACAATTTGATTTGTCTTTTTGATTAATTTACATGTAACACAATTTGATTTGTCCAAAATTTAAAAATAAGATAAAAAAAAATTATTAATTTTAGAAACCACCCACCAGTCAAACCACCTTCCCTGCCACCGATCCCAGCGCGCCGACCTCCCCTGCCACCCCTCCCCTGAACCACCCTAAAACCCCCTCCCCCTAACCACCCTCGAACCCCTTCTCCCTCACGAAACTAGAATCCCCTCCCCTTGAACCACCCTCGCCCCACCAAACCAAACGCCCCTGCCACCGATCCCAGCGCGCCGACCTCCCCTGCCACCCCTCCCCTGAACCACCCTCGAACCCCCTCCCCCTGAACTACCCTCGAACCCCCTCTCCCTCACGAAACTAGAATCCCCTCCCCTTGAACCACCCTCGCCCCACCCATCCAAACGCCCCTGCCACCGATCCCAGCGCGCCGACCTCCCCTGAACCACCCTCGAACCCCCTCCCCCTGAACCACCCTCGAACCCCCTCTCCCTCACGAAACTAGAATCCCCTCCCCTTGAACCACCCTCGCCCCACCCATCCAAACGAACCCTAACCTGCGAAAACCGCAACCAACCTCCACCTTCGCCCCACCCATTCCACCCTTTCCCGACCACCGCAGCCCAAAACCACCCCTTACCATGTTTTCCGGCCCCCATAAACCCTATTCCCCCACCCAACACCACCAAAAAATTGTTTTAACTCATAAAACCCGAAACTCGGAAAAGGGGGTGCAGTGGTGGCGGTGAAGTGGTGGTGCATCGGTAGCTTTAATTGTTAAGAAGGTGGGATGGTGAGCGCGTTTGCCGGAGAGGGGCCGAATTCGGGGGGAAGGGGAAGTGGCCGGAAAAGGGAGAGGGGTAGGGGAGGGAGCCAAAAACGTGGTGAAGTTGGTGGTTCAAGGGGAGGTGGAAGGGAATTGGCTGGTGGGGGTTTTTTTTATTATTTAAGTATAATTTTTACTTTTTTTTTAATTTTTAATTTTTATAAATTACAGGTCGCCACGTGTCATGTAACCTGTTATAACAGGTTACGTGACCGGTTGGGATCAATAAAAAAGAATAGGGGGTAAAGGTCGGATTATTAAAAAATAACTTAAAGATGGGATTATTAAAAACGAACGGTGCAAAGGTGGGATTATTCCCATGAATTTTTCCTATTTTTATTAGTATGTTGCGAAATATGTGGTTTATAATTATTATTATTATTGTTATTAATATTGTTATTATTATTGTTATTATTATTATTATTATTATTATTATTATTATTTTGAAAT